CGGCCATATCTCATTTTGCCTGCCAGAAGCACCAAGGGCCGTTCCTTTGCTATTTTCCATGCGGGCCCTATGGGCCGGATTTAAGCACCCGAGGTCCGGATTCGGCCCTCAGGTTTGACACCCCTGCTGTAGAAGAGTAGATGTGTGTGTGGGGGTAAATGGTAGAGGGGTCCCTGTGGATTTTACTGCGCTGGTCGTTGGCGATTATTGGGGACGGTGCTCATCTCTGTATCAAGGCCATTGAGTTCAGTGCTGTCCGAAGTCCGCTTGTCTTAACGTGGTCAAGTTCGAGAAAGATGATAGCAATAGCACTTATATACCACTTTACAGTACTTTACAGCCCTCTCTAAGCGGATTAAGAGTCAGGATATCGCTTCCAACCCTCTGGATCCTCATTTTATTGACCTCAGAAGGAAGGAAGACGGAGTTAAATCTTGAGCTGGTCAGGATCGAACTCTAGACTGCAAGCAGATTTAGGTCGCCATACTTCTAACCACCGCACCACTACTCTGTAAAGCTGCTTAGAGAGGGCTGTAAAGCGGTATATAGGTCTAAGTGCTAGTGCTATTATAAGAGCCGTGACGGCGCAATGGCTAGAATGCAGTACTGCAGGCTAACTCTGCTCACTGCCAGGAGTTCGATCCTGACCTACTCAAGATTGACATAGCCTTCCATCCTGAGCTCAGCACAATGGGGCCCAGATTGTTGGGGGCAATATGTTGACTCTGTAAACTGCTTAAGAGAGGGCTGTAAAGCGGTATATAAGTCTAAGAATGCAGTACTGCAGGCTAACTCTGCCCACTGCCAGGAGTTCGATCCTGGCCTACTCAAGGTTGACATAGCCTTCCATCCTTCCGAGGTCAGTAAAACGAGGACCCAGATTGTCGGCCATATGCTGACTCCGTCAACCGCTTAGAGAGGGCTGTAAAGTGGTATATAAGTCTAAGTGCTAGTGCATTTATAACCGCCGCAGTGGTTAGAATGCAGTACTGCAGGCTAACTCTGCCCACTGCCAGCAGTTCAATCCTGACCTACTCAAGGTTTGACTCAGCCTTCCATCTTTCTGAAGTCGGTAAAATGGGAGGGGGGGGGCAGATTGTCTGCTATATGCTGACTGTCAACCGCTTGAGAGGCTCTGCAAAGCGGTATAAAAGGCTTCACACACACACACACACCCACACCCACAAAAACCCTTTGCAAAGATAAACCCCAACCAAGCAGCTTAGGCTTTCTGCCCCGTTTCTCCTGGGTCCGGGTCAAAAGGGGTCGTGTGAACACGCAGGCGCCAGAGTTTGCCCTTCTATACACGCTTCCCCTGCCCTCGACCTCCTTTTGCAACCTTCCCCCTTCTTCTCCGCACCCGAATAAAATTAGAAAGTGAAGTCAGAGGGGCCCCCAGGGAGGGGGGGGGTGAAATGTTTCCAGCGGGAAGCTTTATTTGGAGACGACGAGCAGGTTTTGTATCGCCCCCCCTTCCTCCCCCCCCAAATCTCCTCTCCTCCCGCGCGCGTGTAAGGGAAACGCGGGAGCGCGCCCCGCCGCTTTCCCAAAGCTTTCTTGAACGTTCCAGACGAGGCGCGCGCCCGTCCGGCCCGGGGAAAGCGGCGGCGGCGGCCGCGGGAACGCGCCTTTTTGCAAAGCACCCGCCGCCAGAGGCGAACCCGGATTGGACGAGGGAAGCAGCCAAAGTCGAGAAGGTTCTGTAAAGTGCGGGGGGGAGGAGGAGGAGGAGGATGGGAGGAGGAGGAGGAGGACCGGGGAGAATGTACTAGAAGGGGCGGGGTGGGAGCGGGACTCCTTGCCTATAAAGTCGTGCAAGAGGCGGGCCGTCGGGTTCAGAGGATTAGAAGGAAGCGTGTCCAAGGAGTGCACGGAAGGATTGTTATTTCGCCCGGCGGGTGGACGAGCACAAGGCAGGCGCCCAGCGCTTCGGAGATTCGGCGAGAGCAACGATTGCAACGAGCCAAAGGTACCTAACTTGGGCGTGCAAGTTTTTGCTAGGGGAGTAAAATGGGCATTGCATTGCATTGCACCCCCAAGAACCGTGCAAGAGTGTGCACGGCGCGGGGTATTTTGCTCCCCTCTTTTTTTTTTCTTTGCAAGGTTTCGGTTTCTTCCCTCCCTGTGCAAAAAACCTTTTGCGCGTGGGTTAACTTACTGGCCCGCCGGAATCGCCCGCTCCGCTTTTGGCTGCCGGGATCGCGTTCCCACGACGCGCCAGCTCCGTTGTGCATTAAATCGGGCCGTCTGATTCTCCTTTTTTGTGTGTGCTTTGCACAAGTTGGGCGTTCCCGGGGTGGAAGCCAAGCCCCGTTTGCTTGGGACCTCTCCCTTAACGGTTAAAAAAAAAAAAAAAGCGGACTGGTCCGGGAGAAGCGTGTCGTGTGAATGCGGGCGAGGAGGAGTTTAGCAAAGGTTGGCCCGCGCGTTTCCTGCGGGTCTTGAGGAATCGAAGAGCTGTTGCGTTGGGGGGCAAAAAATAAGTAAGAGGGGACTGTGGTGTCCCCTCTACCGATTAGGCTGGGCTTTAAGCATCGTTGTGGGAGACGCGTAACGTGGGGACGGGTGACTCTCGGACGCGTGTGATCCTTAAAACACTTTTCGCGGAAAACTCCCCGATTTCTTTTTTGGATACGTCGTGGGAATGCCAAAGACAGCTTGCTTGTTCCCCGAGAAGAGAGACTTTGAAAAGTGTGGGGAGGGGGTGCCACATAGCCTACCCCCCCCCCCAGATTCCTACCCAGCCATCGGGGGAAAAAAGAAGTCTTTGACTTGCAGCCTTAGGGGAAGGGACGGTTAATTTGCAAAAGTGCATTTTTTTTCTCCCCTCCCTTTTTTGCACGCAGTTTAGTTGTTTGCAGTCTTTAACCCTTTGGCAGAGGAATGCAGAGGAAGCATCCAGAAGGTCTGGTCTCTGTCCGTTGGGAAGCTTTTCTAACCCCCCCCCCCCTCCAAAAAGGGGGCTGGTATCCAAGCTTGTTGGATCAAGTCTGAACCACAATCCCCCTCCCTTTCTCTCTCCTCCCCCCCTCTCTCCTTTTAAGTCATTTTGGGTTCAAGCATTTTGGTTAATTGCCCAGGACAATTCGGAGTGTTATATATTAAATATATATATTTAATAGGGGTTGATTCAGAATGATCAGCCCAGGGTGGGAATAAAAATGACACTTGCCTTGAACTGCTTGAAACTAATATTTTAATTCATCAGTAAATAGGCAGAGGGGTTAGATTGTGCCATTTGTCTTGTGGGGGGGGGGATTGGATTTTTATTTATTTTTTACTAATTTTCTTATCCTCTCAATGCCACCGGCTTAGCTTAAAGCAGAGGTCTTGATTCAAACTTGGCAACTTTAAGACTTGTGGACTTCAACTCCCAGAATTCTCCAGTCAGCTGCTGGCTGGAGAATTCTGGGAGTTGAAGTCCACAAGTCTTAAAAGTTGTCAAGTTTGGGGATCCCTGGCTTAAAATCTTGCCTCTCTTTTGAAACTTAAGACCGTGTTTGTTTGTTTTTAAAAGCTCAGAGCCTGAACGGCAGGCGTTTGCCTTCATTGTTTCTGTATGATTTAAAAGTTATTTTTATGACGCACTTAAGCCAGAAAAAGAAATATTTTCCACTGGGATAAGTGACTCAATGGAAAAGAA